GTAATAAAAGTATTCACAGACCTTATGACCAACGAAACCTCTGGACAAATTCTAAGACCATTTCTGTCTTTTGCAAACCTGCATCATATATTGCATAGACAAAATATCTATGTGAAATATGGTCTGATAGTTAGGATATTCACAGGTTACTAATCAACTTTACATTTCCTCATGTATGGTGGCTTTTCATATTGAGTGGTGTTGAAGTTAGACCTAATATCCTAGGTAAGTATAGCAAGTCGATGAGTTAAACTAACGTAGCTCGGACGCGTTAAATTTCCTCAGCCACTATCTACCTCAATGGGTAATGCTAGATGCCATGCGATTATAATGAAATGTTAAAGGATCTCAAACCAAGGTATGGCATTTGTCAATATCCAGACCTCATGTTGAAAACGACTGAGTGACTCCATGATTTTCATTGCTGATGGATTAGTTGACTGCTCATTCACACAGTCATCAATGGTTGTTATCATTATAGGTCCTATGACTTAGATATTATGGTAACTTTAGTGTCGCCTGCTTTCAATATATCGCTTTCTTCACAATGATGTACCTTATCCGAGTATTCGACGTGTTGAATTGGCACACGGTACCCAAGTATATTTTTCGCATATGTTAAATTTTCTAAAATTCCTTACTAAACATGTAAACGCAACGATTATGATTGTTTAAGTGGCAATCGTTAAGTGAAATAACTCTGTTTAGAAAACGTTACATAATCGCTTATGTGTATTGCTTTTTACTATTACTTGAAATCGTAACTAGTGTATTGCAGCATTTGTGTGTAAACACTTAAAACCAATTTTTTTCTTACCATAATCTCATTAAAAACATTGATTTTAGTTGGCTAAATCTTATCGTACATCTACAGGTTTCGTGTCTCTTTTGACAGTGAGTATCAGAATGAATCGTGGTTTAACTGATGCCACTATAAAGTAATTGTTTATTAAACGAGACAATTCTTAGGAATCATTTACAGGCAAAAGATCTAGTTGTATGTAATGAAATTTCTACATCATTAGATGAATTTAAGTAAGTTTAGTCCCTCTCCAAGATCATTTTTAGAAAATTCCTCATTCAACAAAAAAAATATCGTGACGAATTGGCTGGCTTATCTTATGGTGACTTAATCACCTTACGTGATGATCTCAAGACTGTTAGTCAACAAGTGTCTTCTTCAATATCCAGCCTCCGGCATACATCTACAGCAATTTCACGCCTAAAAACAGATGTGTTAAAGGTGAGACAGTGTTCGCAACTTTTTCAAATAACTTTTATATACAAGGAAGAAAAAAATGCTGGCATAGCCCATAAAACATCTGAACATGGACTGAGTATTAAAAATGATAATAATGAACTAACAAGGTATACAGTTATGAACAAATTATTCTAAATGTAGTTATTTTATGAAAAAGATCTCTGAATTTGATACAAGAATCCGATTGTATAAACATGAGCTAGAGGTATTTGAAGAGAATGTTTATTCTCAGCCATTGACTCCTATGACTCCACGAGGTAACTATTTTATTGATAAAGGTACATTTTTACATTACAGACCTTCTTAATATTCTGCATCTAATCGATCATGATTTTATCAATCTTGCGGCTCAGTTGTACACTACACATGAAAACATGAAGGTATGTTTGCAATGGTTATTCGTGTTAGAGCAGTGCATTGTGTTATTCATATAACTATTTGCAGATTTGTTCTTTATCTCTGAAGGTGACTGCTGAGTTGTTTGTTAGTTTTGGCTAGAATCCACAAAATTATAGTTATTTGTGGTTGAAACCGAGTGATATAAAGCACTGGTATATTAGTTGAGATGTTTAGCCCTCAGCCTGTTCGCCATAGGTTTTAAATCCACCTCATTTAGTTTGGTTTAGGTAGCAAAGTAATGTCGCTACGCTTTACGCAAATAGTTCAATGCCAAATATACAAGTATATATATATGCAAAAATTATGGTTGTTAGTTTTACCACGTTTTAATGTTTGGTTTGTTCATTCCTGTGTAGGCAATAAAATCAAACTACTTAAAAAAGTATCGTATGTGTTATGGTTCAGCTCGAAATCCATTCGGCGATAATGATGACTTTCATTTCAAGAGTCAAATAGAAGTTGATAATTTATTTGGAACAGGATTAAGTAAGGGAAAAATCGGTTCATCGTTCTCGACTCCATATGGTCCTTCTCCATTCCCAACATCAGAAACACCTACTACATCCAATTCAATCAGTAGTGTTGAGAAAACTTCAATTATTCCGTCGGTACCTTCTACTACAACTTCAAGCAGTGTGTTGTCGAATCAGCAATTTGGTATAACTTCATCTTTCCAGCCTGGTATGTTCACGTACAGTAATTATTATTTCCTAATACTCAACGCTTGTATTAATGGCCAGTGTGGATTTTAAAAAGTTTAATTTACCTAACTGTATATGGTCTAAGGTTAACCGAACACTGAGACTACCATATAACGATAAGTGTTTGTCAACAGAATTCTTATGATAGACAAAACTAGTTAGATTTAACTACAGAAATGGTTGTGTAAGACAAAATATCAATCACAAAGCTAGGTCAAGTGGTTCAGAGTTAGCAAAGAATCACTCATTTTCAAAACGGATAATTTGAGGGTAGGTGCGGTTCACCCCTATGGTTTTAGACCACTCGGCAACGAACAGAAAGATGGAATTATCGGACAGATGCATAAGTATTAGTAACATCATTGACAAAAAAGTAGGCATCAACGATATGATTCGACATGGAATAAATTCCTAGAAGACAAAATAATTTTGAGGCTCGGGAAGAAGTGAATGCTTCCGCATCATTATGACGAATCATAAATTGCGTTACCCAACATCGCTAACTGTTAGTCACAGCAACTGCCGCTTCTAGGTAATCTGGATTTACTGATACGGTTTAGTGCAGACGTCAGTGACTTCATGGTTTCTCAATGTGTACGTTAACTTATATTTACTAGTGTACACCACGCTTGCTTATATATCTACATGTTAAATGTTTAGTATACTGCTCTGGAATTCATCTACACGGTGAGGTTTGTTTGCAGAATCAACAATAAGACCCTTAGTTGTAGTAATACATTTGTATTCACATATAATGCCCTGTTCGGACTAGATTTTTGTGTAAACTCATTTTTTTCTAAAATTCGTTTATTGTGAATAGGAGTTATTTGTACTGCTACGTTTTGACGGAAATCGAATTTTCAGGCGTCGTGAATCAAACGTGCAGCATAATCATCAGTAAAAGTATTATATGTGTAACATCCCAATAAGAAAAATTAAATTTTCTGACGTTTCGTGACTCGGTGTTAGCCACTTCTTGAGAGAACAAAGAAATAATAGTACAGAAGAACTCCAATGAGTCTTAAAACAATCCATAGTTAAAGTATATAACAACACAACGAACATCTTTTGAAGTGCTTTAGTTCTCACAAGGCAAAAACTCCCCTTTATGTCAACACAATTGTCTCTACAAATTAGGATGTGTTGATTGTGATGCCTTCTGTGTTGAAGAGTCACCTATCTTGTGGAATCTTGACTCGAGCCAAAGGACATCTTAGGTACTCAAAGAAACCGCCTAATAATGCCATAGAACTAGAAAGACTTCCAATTAAATCGGCAATAGCAATCCATGCCATTTTCAATAACCATCAAGTCGATATCAAAGACACCAAAATAATACGGAAAGGCTTTTCCAGCTACAAAGAACGACGAGTAGCTAAAACGCCATTTATATTCTACTGCCCTCAATAGAAAACAAGGCCTCATTATCCATCCGACTTGTACCATTTATCCAAGCTACCTTGTCTAATTTTATCCACATCTCACACCATTATTATACGCACAAATTCAGCTCCACCCGTTCGCACCACAAATATCACATTTTTTCATGCTTAAAATACATATGCAAAAAAATCCAAATACGCTTCACATAAATCACCTTGAATGGAATAAGATTGACTTGGTCAGACCTGTTTTTGATTGATCGCACTGAGTTACAAAATTCGAATTTTCTACTTATTGGGATATTATAAATATATTATTTTTATTATTAAAAATCTACCCTATGTTTAATTTGGAATTATCAAGTCAAACCTTGACAATGACACCTACTGCAACGTAATCGTTTGACATCGACTTACAGTCAGGTATTCTTAAATACACCAATACCTAATCGTATCTAGGTTTACTCAAAACATAATTTCTATCTAGAACAAAATGCTTATCATAAAATTTACTCTGAAGTCTTAACAACTATTAACTCAATTCTCTCTATCTAGAGAATGATCTTTGTATTTGTTCTATGTCCGATAAACTTCTTGTTCTCCATTTTTCAGCATCCTCCGTACTTTCACAAATAGGTTCATTGACTGGTGGAGCTCCTGCTTTGAATTCAACTGTTACAACAACAGGTTTAATCAAACCAGCATTCGGATTTCAATCACCACTAACTACTTCAACAACAAGTTCTGTCGGTAAAATTGGATTATAACTTCTAGTGTGAAAGAATTGGTTTCTTTTCTAGGATTTTGAATCAAAAGTACATGCCAGAAAATGTTATCTATTTTAACGTGTTTAGTAATGCATATTCCGATAGACTTGTGTAATAAGTGTATATACATTTTTTTTGTATCACTAATGTTTATTTATCGAAATGACTACTTATTTTTGTGCATTCGTTAAAAAAAAACTAGGGTAGTAATAATAGTAGCAGAATTCAAGATACTTAACCTTTGTGAATGTCAATTAATTCATAAGATCCAAATGTAATGTTTTGTATCCCGTAACTAATAGGCAACTAAAAGCTATTAGTTTATGTTACATTCCTAAGATTATTGTTGTATTGAGGCTCAAAATTTAGTATATATAGTTCGTACTTAATAATATGAGTAGTTATACACTATACTATGTCGTAATTAATCATCGCTTAACAATAAACGATATGAAAAGAATTGTACTATTTTAAAAAGTAATAACCATATACTACAAATAAAAGCAATCTATTTTTTATATATAGACAATTAATGTACAACAGGATTAAGAGGTTCAGCACGCAGTTGTGAAAAATCAATTCGCCTGTCTAGATCTTCATCAAGTTCTCCGACTACAGCCCTGAAAAATAGCATAATACGAATAAATCTTGCATTTTATAAAGTTTCAACCTCAGAATTAGTACTTTTGCAATTAACAATGGCTTTATATCACATTGAACTTACACATTCTGTCCTCGAATAATAAATAAACCCAATGGGACTTGCTCAACACCTTCAGTTGGACTGAAAACTCTTTCATGACTATCTTTGATAACAAGATTGACGACATTATCAAATCCTTTTAATGTACCCTAGTAAATGAATAATTTTACTAAGATTAGCCAGAATGATAAGGACGTTAAAAATAAATTATTCATCATCATTCATATAGAAATTGATGTATTATGTTATGATCTATATGCCGTTAATGAATAATAAAAAGCTTTATTAGATTCACCAGGAAAATGTAGATGAGGTTATATAACAGAAAAGATCATAGCTTGTCGGAATATTTATACAAGAATATATATAAATACTAGATAGTGACTGACGGAAGAATTTGATGAAGAAAGTGTACAAATTATTGATACCGAAAAGAGATGAATCAGTCGAAGATTCGGGTAGTTGTTATCAACGCAAAAGAATGGAAAGATAGCATTAAACCCAAGGGAGAGTATGAAGCTCGCACATTATAAATATGTGCTATTTGAATTTCTCCGATCTTTGTATTCCATTGATAAAACTAAATATTAGTAGATCAACTGTCCTTTGGTTTATTGATTCATACTCAGTCTATCCTGGCATATTAGACAGGTTTTTGTGCTTGTTTGAGCTACGAATTAACTGTTGTTGTTGTTGAGCTCGATAACTTGTATGTTATTTTAGCATAAACTAATTATTTGTTGTAGAACCATCTAGTATTTATAAATATATTCCTGTATAAATATTCCGAAAAGCTATGTTAGTCTTTCGATTTATACAACCTCGGTTACATTATTTTTGTAAATCTAACTATTTAAATGACACGTATGTTACATCATATTGTCTTTCTATCGCAATGAATTATTATTCCATTCACTCATCTACCGGTAAAGGAATATTTCTTTCCCCATCCATCCATTGCCACTTTGCTTTTGATCGTACATTTTCTCTTGTGTATGCTAACACTTTCAAGTTTGATTATTTTTTTTGAACAATTTACTTAAATTGTTTCCATTATTTATTTGAACACATAAATACTGGTACAACAGGGCACCAAATATATATGCGCCACACAAAATTTAATTTGTGTGTGGGCTGTGATACGACCCGGGTGCCCAGACCGAAGCAGGTGGTTTTCTTAGAGGGCCACACCCCGAGCCTTCGACCTAAAGGTCTGATCCACAAGGCAGTGGAGTATCGTAAGGAGATGCAGTCCCAAGGGTGCCGGTGACCAACGATTGGTTCATACGCCATTTGTTCCCTCAGGCTACTGGAGCTAGCCCATGTGCACCCATGGTTTGGAATCAGGGTTTTCCAACTCTCCTAGGCGGATCATCCATACACACCAACCCGGTTGAAGCGCCGGACATTCGCTTTTCGTCCTCTCAATTCCGTAAACAACAGTGCCACGAGAAGGCAGTGAGTAGGACTTCCCTGGGGAGCAGACTCCTCCCACTCTCGGCCGTACCAGGGCAAACTTGACTCAACTAAATTGAATATATAAATGCATGAAGTTTAAAATATTCCACTTACCACAATAGTTCTTCCATCTGATGTTATAACATTTACCATTCCTGGTACATATAAAGAAAATGGTTAGGGAAAGCAGAATTTTCTAGATGATAGATATGCAATATTGATACTCTGTTTACTGATCCACTATAATTGATCGCATGTACATTCTACGAACATAGAGTATATATGCAATATTTGCTGAGTACGTTCAAAGTTATTGTAACGAAAGTAAGCGAAATAAAAAAATAATTTGAATGAAAGAAAATACTAACATGCATAAATTACAAGATTTAGTGGACAGAAGGTAACTTTTATTGACCATACAGTCGTTTTTAGCTGGAATTTCGAATTATCTGAATCAACAGCCATGCTAAAGTGATGAACTGAGTTGAATGGTGGTTAGTAGCATAATCCACGACGCGCATTTCTTCCTATTTTGGACTCATCAGCTGGATATATCTACATCCTAGAGTTGATGCTTACTCCAATCCTCAAACTCAGTACCGTTCACTTTGAACGTCATCACATCACCCACTTAGCTACTGAGTGCAAATAAGCATTGGCTTGTATAACGGATCCAGTTGCATTCTTTTCATTTACCTAATTAAATGGATATCGTAAGGTCTCTAAATGAAAAAGCTAATGGATTTGAAGTTATCAGATAGTTGGGGAAAAAAACAACGTAGACAAATCGATATAGAATTGTACTTGTCTAGTATGTGCATATTATTTCACATCAACATAGTGAAATTATAATCGCAAAGAGAAAGCGAATAAGATCAAATAGATGGAAAGAATGAAATAACATGATTTTTTTTAAAAATATACATATATAGCTAAATGATGTAAAAAAGAAACCATAATCACTACGTCCTCCTCTCCCTCCTACTACTACTACTGTGGTTGATTTCGAACCAATAAACACTAAATTTTTAACCGACAAACAAGAAAAAGGATACGACCAACATATGCTTCTAATTCAGACGCCATAAATCAATACCTAAAAAAAAAAACAACGCAATCAATAAAAACTATGAAATGATTGAGAAATCAAACAAAAATACATCAAGAAAAGTAAATAACAATAAAATATATTTAGCATAAAACACAAATACAATCCAAATTTGTATAATATCATTTCTAATAAAACACTACGAGAGAAGCTTATTAATTCATGAGGAAGAATGAAGACATTTCAGTAAAGGAAATCTTGTTTTTGATGAAGTTGTACTTTGCGCCCAAATGCCCTGGTATGGCCGAGAGTGGGGGGAGTCCGCTCCTCCTCTCGAAATGCTCTCACATAGCCACGCTTATACAGCCCCTGCCAGGGAAGTCCTACTCACTGCCTTCTCGTGGCGAAGGTGTTGTTTACAAAAATGAGAGGACGAAAAGAGAATGTCCGGCGCTTTAACCGGATCCCAACTCAATGGTACACATGGGCTCCTGCGGGAACAAATGGCGTATGAACCAATCGTTGGTCACCGGCTACAATGGGATTGCATCTCCTCACGATACTCCACTGCCTTGTGGTTCAGGTCGAAGGCTCGGGGTGTGGTCCCCTAAGAAAACCACCTGCTTCGGTTTGGGCACCCGGGCAGTATCACAGCCCTCACACATATCAAATGAGATCTGTGTGGCGCATATGTATTTGGTGCCTTCTTGTACCGATATCTATGTGTTAAGATAAAAAATAATATAGGTAACTTTTTACATATAATAGTCTATGATATAATAAAGAATTGTTACAGAATCATCTAAAATAATCAAACTTATTCAAGTATCTAATGTGAAATTCATTTAAAAATGAACGTGTTGTATCGAAGGATTTCAAGCATTGAATATAATTATACATAAACAGAAGGGTCAGTTAGCTAAAACGTAGGATCAGGTACATATATGCATCGGTCCAAGTTAACATAGCGCGATAGCATAAAAAGATGAACACCGGATTCATAGAAGTAGTTAAGTCAATGGTGGTAATATATAAAAGAAAGATTGCGTATAGAACATAGCACAGGAGGAAAGAATTAGTTCGTAGAAAGAAAGATATGAAGCGATTTTAATCTCTTAGTTTAAGGGAAGACAGAGAGTGTATACACCTATGGCGTTATGATCGATTCTGAGCCATGTCATCAAGACTCCCCAACCATTAGTTACGATACTTACAGAAGGGTATATATAAACCCCCAAATACCCTGGTACGGCCGCGAGTGGGGGGGTCCGCTCTCCCCCTCGAAATTCTGTCACACGGCCACGCGAATACAGCCTCTGCCAGGGAAGTCCTACTCACTGCCTTCACGTTGCGGTGATGTTGTTTACGAAAATGAGAGGACGAAAAGAGAATATCCGGCGCTTTAACCGGATCCCAAACCAATGGTGCATATGGGCTCCAGTATCCTGAAGAAACAAATGGTGTATGAACCAATCGTTGGTCACCGGCACCCTTGGGACTGCATCTCCTTACGATACTCCACTGCCTTGTGGATCAGACCTTTAGGTCGAAGGCTCGGGGTGTGGCCCTCTAAGAAAACCACCTGCTTCGGTCTGGGCACCCGGGTCGTATCACAGCCCACACACAAATTAAATTTTGTGTGGCGCATATATATTTGATGCCCTATTGTACCAATATTTATGTGTTTAAATAAAATTATATATATATATATATATATAGTTAACTATAGTAGTTATTCTATATAATTTTTTCATTTATAAACTTAAAGTAAGAACAAATATCATAGGAGTATAACATGAATTGATTTATCTTATGGATTCTACTCAGTTGCTAACAATCTAAAATTATGGTATTATTTATTAAAAGGAAACAAGTACACAGATTCTAAGCAGGATATTTCTTCAGTAAATTGAAATAGCATAAAAAGAAAATAATAATGACAGATAATGATACAGAGGAATGGAAAAGCTCAATGTTCAAATAAGCAGCTTACAAACTATATAATACTTTAAAATCAAAATTATAGTAGAAATGGACGTACTTGAAGGTGATTAAAAATAAACATGTATGTCATAGTGTTCTGAAGATTACAATAAAATTGATAAGATAGAAAAAATTTGTTTCATATAAACAAAGTAAGGGACAGTTACAGAACATCGAAATTTTGAATAAAAATCATCGAGTTAACAAACGTTACATGGTTGGTTATTAAAATAACAGAAAAACGAATGTTAAGTACGCTCAGGTTATATATATATAGACCGTCTATCAGAATTCTTCGAACACTGTCCTGGGCATTCCTTTCCAGTTCTTACTAATTCCTATTCATTCGTTCGATGTGTGCTTCACATTACCAGCGCAGTGTTTTCTTTGGTCTTCCTTTTCTTTTCATGATTCCAAGTTGGTGCTTGCCTCGTGATGCAGTTTGGTGGATTTTGCAATGTGTTCCCTATCCATCTGCAGAGTCTCTTCCTAATTTCCTCTTCAGTTGGTAGCTAGTTTGTCCCTTACCACAGAAGGCTGTTGATGATAGTAATCGTTCAAACGGATCTGTTTCGAATTCCACATGTTCTTTAACTGTAGGAATGATGTCCTTGATTTGTCAATCCTTGCCTTTAAGTCTACATCAGATTCTTCATGCTCATCGATGACGCATCACGGGTACGTGAAAGTTTCCAACTGATCCGGAGTTTCTCCATCAAGTGTGATTTGGCTGGTATTGTCTCAGTTGTATTTGAGGATGTTGCGTTTTCCCTTGTGTATGTTGAGGCCTACTGATGCAGAGGTTTTGATACACTGTCTGTCTTCACCTGCATTTGTTGATATGTATGGGATAGAAGAGCTAGGTCATCTGCGAAGTTCGAATCGTCTAGCTGCATTCAAGCCGTCCATTTTATTCCGTGCTTGCTCTGAAATGTGAAGGTCTTCATAGGTGGATCCTTCATATCCACCAATCCGGTTAAAGTACCGGACATTCGGTTTCCGCCCTCCCATTCTCATTACCAACAACCCCGGTGCAAGAAGACAGTGAGTAGAAGGGAGGGTTGACTCTTCCCCCCCTCGACCGCACCAGGGCATTTGAGGCCCTATTCCATGTTGTCGCATGATATCTTCATATCTGATGTAGTCCATTCCGACTTTGGCGTCTAGATCTCTCATTAGGATGGTCAGGTCGTTTCCTGAGTACTTCGCTATGATCAATTGCAGCCTCTCGTAGAACTGATCTTTATCATCGTCATAGCTATCATCGGTGGGTGTATAACAATGGATAACATTTATTGATTCCATCCTTTCTTGTTTCGAAAGCGTTGGGATATTCAAAAAATTATCCTATTAAGTCTAATGCTATTCTTGAACGTGAAATGGTGTCATTTTCCTATTGGTCAATATTTATTTCACGTGTCATTTTCCCGTTGGTCAATATTCCCGGTAATCCTAACTGTATAAATATGCATTTTTTGAAAATGATTATTATTCTCCTGACCCCATAAACAATTTTCATCTAACGGTTCGTGTTCTGATATATTGGGGATCGGGGAACAGTATTGGGGTCGTACTGGGATATCTGCAGTTGGTTAATCGGTAGAATTTAGATTAGCCACCCCGCGGTCCACAATAAGATGCTTTGATAATCCTAGATGCATGAGATTCCCTTCTTATAAGTGCTTGACGTGCTCCTTTGGACAGCATCAAAGCAACTCCATGAGTGTGTGAAGCATTTTGTTCTTCGTGACTCTCCCGAACCTAACCTTTTATGTCCAGTTTAACTCTAATGGGTTTCGCTGATTCTGAGAACAGCTAAGTTGGATCTCCTCATTTCCGTTGATATTTCACTAGTCCTCCTACTCTCCCACATTGTCGGGACATTTCACATGCCCATGTGCATCATTGGTTCGGGATCCGGTTAAAGCGCCGGACATTCTCTTTTCGTCCTCTCATTTTCGTAAACAACATCACCGCAACGTGAAGGCAGTGGGTAGGACTTCCCTGGAAGAGGCTGTATTCGCGTGACCGTGTGACAGCATTTCGAGGGGGAGAGCGGACTCTCCCCACTCTCGACCGTACCAGGGTATTTAAGGGCATCGATTATCATAATTAAATTATGATTTATGGTAGGTTTTATAATTAATTTGTACATACTTCTCCTCATCTATTAATTTGTGTAGAGGGTATCAACATTCTTAAGCAGAGATTGGTGTTTGGTAGTGGATATGACCGTTAAATCACTAAAAACAAAGATGCAGGGTCTCTAGCAGTGAAATACAAGATGTGCAACTTGTTATCTTAAGGAACTCATTAGGTGACAGTAAATAGATTCTAGAGTTGATGTTCACTACAGAACTAGAATCCAGTGTCTTTCGCTTCAAACGCCACCGCATTATACACTTAGTTGGTGAGTCCAAACAGTCATTAGCTTGTATGATTGAGTTCAAGATTCAAACAACTGATACAAAATTAATTAAAATTTACCGCATTGCACAAGTTAGTGGCAATCTGGACTAACTAGCTACGTGGATAAAGCGAAGGAGTTTGAAACGGCACTAACTTTGAATCCCGTAGTGAATATCAACGCTGAGATGCACGTACATCCAGCTGACGAGTCTCAAACAGGACGAAAATTCAGCAAACCTGTACCTCATAACCGAATTACTTTTATACACATGCTTGGACGAATAATTGGTCTCAGTAACATTTTAATCACTCCATACAATTATAAATTCATATTCCAAATCTACAACACCGACTCACATAAGTCAACACTTGTATGTGTATACCTGAAACTAGGCGTCGTAAAACAATAAAACCATGGATTTATTACTGTAGGATCAAACGAGAAATTCACCGTAAACTAATCATTCACTCTAAATGCTCTTCCTTTTTAAAACACAAGATAGTAAATGCACAGTAAACATACAGTTCAACTGCTCTGTCAGTAGGTCATAAACAACCAAAAAGGATAACTCATAAATCTTCATTGACCCAAGTTGTCATACCTCGCATCAACACACTTGAAAGAAGAAATTCTCAATATCATAAAAATAATGTCAACAAACATTCTCAAAATGGTCAGCAACAACCACATAAACATGTAAATAGAAACATATCAAAACAAGTACAGTTTACTTTCAAAACAATTGTATCTACAAATACAGATTACTATGCACAACAAGTCCAGCAAATAGCTAAATTGCTTCCCCATATATCTAAATATATACATATATATGCATAAACGCATTAACAAGGTTTCTCCACAGGACTTTCACGCAGCCAAGATTTATAGATCTTATAAAATCTATAAAATGAACGAACAGCATTTGGATAGACAGGAAATCCACCAGTTTTTGATCCTTGAACAGGTGAACCGTCTACCGTAATAAAGAAAAATAAGGTAGAAATCACTTTTAGTATGGATGCTTTTGGAGATTGTTCAAATTAGAAAATAGACAAAACATCACAAACTGATTTTAGATAAACAACAACCGTTGAAAATTAAACAGCACCTGACAGATACTTTTTCACAATATGTGCCTCGTCAGTCAGTAGTCGACACTTGCAACCGATCATGCCAATCGAGGCTGGCACTTCCATGTCTCACAACAAACATGCCACCTTCCGACCACTATCGGGTTCTCATACATTCTTCTTCATTACCAATTTATGTCAATTCGTGACATCATGTGAACATCATTCAACCACACAATTATACCCATCTCTCACAGTAGTTGTACATCACTAATCACAGATTCTCACCAGAACTTCCAGATTCTTTCATTAAAAGTCCGAAGTCCTGCTACTATCAAGAAAAAAGTCATTTCAGAGTACCTTCTATCAAGATTAACAAAGTTATTAAAGAAAATCTATCATTAAAAACTGTTATTCATTTGAGCGTGTTTCGATCTCTGAGCTGGATCGTATAGCATTAATTGTCTTTCTCAACAACATCATCAGCACATGCTTCGATAAAGCATCTTTAAAGACAAACAAGGATGGAATCACAATGAATGCTATCCAGAGTTATGCACCCATTATAGAAACTTATTCCAGATTGATCACCACCCAGTGATCATTCAATTGTGATTACATTATTACATTATTATTGAACTTACTAAGGTGGATGAATAGTTTACATAACAATTGGATTTAGTTGATAGGAAAAGTAATGGTGTGATGGGTGAAAATAATCAGTGAGTTTAAACCATTACTAACTATGTCTTCACTACTACTGTCACTATTTTTATTGAATAACCTGAACGTGATCTAATTCAACAGACCCAATAATTTATAAAACAGATTTATTTTATCCCGATTTGCACCCGATACCAAGTGCCAAGCCAACAATTAGGAAATAAGTCAGGAATATAGCGCTTTCTGTTTTTATCGATAATAAATATTAAGGAAAATTTACAGTGACTGGGTCAAAGTGTTGGGGAGATCCAGAAAACTCCTCGAAAAAAAGTCAAGAAAGGCTCTGAAAACACTGAGAAGCATCTTATCGAATCAGTGCTCACTAGAAGTCTTGCCAGAAACATCTAGAAGTTCGAAAGTCACATTTCGAGTTTCGGATTGGATGATTATTAAACTACCACTATATTTAGTAACATTCTAAAATTTTCGGGAAAACCCAAGGACATCTAAAATAAGATAAAATGAGTACACACTCGCATAACCAACTTACCTTTCGGAATTACACCATTCGCCAAAAGCTCTCGAAACAAACCAATGTCTATATCAATAGATGCGATTACTCGGCGATCTAACACAAATCCATCGAAACGATTGGAGACTTGATTTCCACATACATCGCGTTTTGGTATGGTAGATTTTTTATCAGACAACTCATCTATATGAATTGGACGCCTCATGTATTCAATAACAAATGCCTTCAACTCCCAATCAAATCCAGATGTTGATAGTAAAGTACTGAAGAATGTAAAACTTGGTCTGACGATTTGTGGGTGGACATTTTGTTCACGAGATATACTGCTAGTCTCCGAATCAGTGGGAGATAGTGGGGTTGTAGCAGCAATCTCAAATCCATGTAGAAGTTTTTTAACTGACTCTATTGTTTGACAACCTCGAGCTAGACAACCCCAAGTAATCTACATAACAGAAAAAAGTTAACCATTAAGAAGCTTTTGTAAATTCAGTCCATCATAAGCCACCTTCTAATAACCGACTAGATTTCTTTCAACTTACTCATACACCAGACAAAATTATATTGAACCGTGCATTGATCAAAGGCAATATGATGCTAATTATACCAATACATTTCTGATAAAACATTTGTGAAGCGATGACTCGGTGATTGAAGAACTAACCTTCTACTGATAGGACACAGGTTCGAAGCCTGTACCACCACACAGTTCCGTTTGGTCACACGCTAGTATCATGAGTCCTAACACAAACAGTGTGTTTTCACATGCAGCTTAAATGTATCGACTTCACAAACAAGCTACAACATTACATTTGCACCTTCGCGTCAAACTAAAACCCATCACAATTTCCAATCATACAAATGATAAGATCAAAATAAAAAACACAAATACACACAAACAGGATATAAAACAATGTAGGACAAGCAAACCTACTTGGTCAGGAATTAACCCTTTACGGGTCATATCCGCTAATAAATAATTAGCATTCAAACCAATTGACACTCTACGATGAATAAAAAAATTGTATAGTGCAGTATCTGCAGTTAGTTTAAACTTTGAAAGTAAATTTAGAACTTCTGTTTCCCAAATATCAAAAGCGTCTTTTGTGTAACACTGATCAGATTTCACTGGTGGTGGCAATAAACGAGCGATATTTGCAAAAAAATTATTATTAGGTTTCAATTTGTAACGATTTTCAATAGTATCCAGGATACCATACAATCCACCAACGAGAGCAAGACGTTGCCATGGATACAAACCTCGATCTTTTGGTCCATAAATCTAAAATTCGACAGTAGGAAACAGGAATTTTAAAATACTTATAAAAATTGTTCATTCAGAATTTTACTGAACTTAACTTAATCATGTGACTGAGTGATCAGCATCATCAATCAGCTAACATCAAATGCTTTAACTAAATGCCTATTAAGATACCGATTTAACTTATTCGTAAGGATTTGTATTATTTCGATGTCGGTATTTAAAACTCAATTTGATCAACATTTGTCAGGAAATACACACTTAAGTAAATATATAAGAGTAGCCTTTCTGTAACGCGATTCACAATGTTTCGATTGCGGTTAACAGTGGAATTCGGGACAAACATCTTGTTATATTCACGGTGTTTCAGTCTGTGTGTGTGGCGAATTTCACAATGAAACTTGACATCGTTCAAATGTAAATACCTACTATGTTTTGATGTTCCCGGACTGTTGGGATGATTAATATTGGTGAATTAAGACCATCTGGTTGGGATTCACGCGATTAATGCGACCATTAACATGCTAAGAATCGGTTACAACGGCGCAGACGAATTCAATTTGTACTTTACTTTACAGTCCCAGTGTCCCTTCCTACGTACATTGCCAACCTAGCTTTCCAAACCACAATCACAAAATTCAGTCTGTCTCATTGTCATTATTGATACAGTATATCGGTAACCTTGCTACTCATCTAATTACTGTTATCTCGTCAGTTAGATGCGATATGCTAATGCGGGCTACATTAACATTGTAATAGTCCCTATATTAATTGTGGCGGACTGTAGTGGTGCTCCAGTGATTGAGGTGTTCGACAATCGACCACACCAAATTCATCGAACTAGTCACATCAATGGTAGTAATATATAAAAGAAAGATTGCATATAAGCATATAATACAGCGAGAGAGAATTAATTCGTAGAAAGAACGGTATAAAGCAATTTTAATCTCACGGTTTAAGAAAAGACAAAAAATGTATTAACCGACGTCATTATGATCGATTCAGAGCCATGTCACCCACAGTCTCCAACCATTGGTTGCGATAGTCGCACGGACCCAAACTAAATAGTCTGCAACTATCAACATGGCTCAGACCAGAAGTTAGTGACTTCCAGCACTGATGTCACATTTTGGTTTGGCCGTCCCTAACTTCCTTCCGTCCATCTTCAACACTGCTCAGCATTGTGTGTCGTGGTGATCGGTATTCAGGCATACACAACACGTGAACCAACCATCTCAGTCGATGAAGATTTATAACCTCATCAACTGACTTACCATCATTCCCTAATACCCTGAGTCTAACCTCACTATTACTTACCCGGTGATCCCAGCACATGCGAGCAGTATTTCTAACGCATCTATGATCAAATACTAACAACTTACGAGTATCTTCTACTCTTAATGGTCACGTTTCGCAGCCGTTTCTACCGAAAGACTGCATTTTACCATCGTATTCACCAAACCACTCAGTATGGTTACTTAGCACAAAAGTCGCAGTAGAACAAGTCTATACCAGCCTTATAGAATTAAGTAAGAAGAAAGGTTCAAACTCATCACAAAATAGTTTGACCCCAACTTCTGCACCATTAAACCACATTTTGATCTACGCAACGACTAAACCACTGTCACAATACAAACATCTTCCACCTCACACACCAATATTGGTATCTTCACAGTTCACCTCTTACAATACAGAAATAACACTGGCAGCATTCTTGCGAAATATCACAAAAACAACGCATATTTAGTCACCCACCCGCACTAAGAGCACCAAAATCCAACTGATCATTTTCCGACATGACGTTCAAATCCTCTTCTAAATCACATCTTTCCAGGCTATTTACGTACGAAGATTCTTCAGGCTCTTGTGGCTTTATATACTTGTGAATTTTGGCTTTTTGGTTAATCACTTCCACAAGATCACGAGTAGATAAATTAACCTTGCAGCGTGATTGAGAACATCTCCACGACAAAAGGCTACAAGCAGTGATCGGTTGAATTCTACGATGATAAAGCTTTAACACAGTTAGAACGCTATATAAAAACATACCGACGATTTCAGTACCCTGAGTCTAACCTCACTATTACTTACCCGGTGAGAATGGATGTAAGCCAACTCCACTTAATCAAGCGTTAATCAATATTTATAGCCATACAAAAATAAGCTGCAAACATGTAATGAGTAGGATGAGAATTGTACACAAACACGCTCATATAAAAACAGTCAGGTTTAATAAGTGAAAGATTAACAACGTCAAAACGTGAATCAAGAAAAATGGATAAATTGGCCTGTCCAGAAGGTAGAATAAGTTATGTCGGCTTAACATAGTAACTGACAATACAGGTGCATAACACTGGATAACATTCATTGTGATTCCATCCTTTCTTGTTTTGAAAGATGCTTTGATGATTCTGGATGCATGAGATTCCCTTCTCATGAGCGCTTCACGT